ATGAGTTTAAATAGCGTCGCCGAAAAAAACGAATAAGAGAGCAGCTTCGTCGCACGTTTGCGCTTGATCACACATAAGGATTTATCTCCATACTGAAAACGGAATTTGGCGGTGTCCACGCAAAAACGCTCAATATCTTCAGCGTTGAGAAGCGATCCGTACTTTGATATCACTCGTGATTCCTGAAATTTGATGAAAGATGAAGGGGTGAAGAGAGGAAGGGCGAACAGATGAAGAGGAAGCAAAGATGCGGTTGGCGGATCTATTACAAAGATTCTTTCAAGCACCGGATCGGTGGCTATTGGTGGGGAGGGTTTGGGGGTGGAGAAATCGATTAGGGAAGTGAAGAGTTAAAGGAGTCGTTGAGGTGGTGCTGGAGAAGAAGACTGAAGCATAAGATTAGGCGGGAAGTGGTGTTTGAGGAAAGGGTCGAAGAGTGGTGCTTGCTTAGGTGGGGGAGAGTGGTAGGAGGAGGAAGGAGACGCGTGCTAGGAAGAAGAGTGGGGAGATTGGTGGGGCTGAGAAGAGGAGGTTGGCGACTGACGACGTGGCGGGGACAGGGCCGCAACGCAAAGTGACGGGCTTCCTGCCATGCCCTTGTCATTCATGATGAGGTTTGAAGAAGTGCTTACCGGTGGCTTAAGTAGCTGGAAGACTTGCTCTCTTAGTAGGCCGAAACTTAGGCCTGATTTAGCCGTAAAACGCGAGACAAGTAAGTGGTCGAGGAATTGGTTAGGATGCGGGAGAAGTAAGGAGGCTTTCCTGACGCGGCACTAAGCCGAAAAGAGGTGCGGATGCAGGTGCAGGTAAGAAGACCGGAAAGAGGTATAGGTACAGGGCCTCAAAGAAACAGTCCTAGTGCGAATGCAGGTGTGAAAAGAATCTGAGCAGAAAATGGAGCAGGTGCGGATGAATCGGCCGCTTCGCCAAAATAGGCAATGAAAATGACCTGTCCTCCGAGCGTCTGGCTAACTTGCTTGATGTGACTTGCAGATTCGCGTACGCAATGGGCGCGGCAGCGGGCGAAAGAAATCCAGAAAGCGGGCAGCGCGAGTTGACTCAGCCTGCTGCGCCTGCTGCGACCGGTCCTGCACCGGTTACATATACTCTCGCTGCGACTGGAGGCAGTGGAGGCCGGACCACTGAGGGACTGCTTCCTGCCGGGTAAGTCCCACTGGTCCCTTCTGTAAGGCCGAAGATCTTGGGTGTAGAAAGAGCTCGAGCCGTAGATCTTAGAAACAGGAAAACTGGTAGGATCCATAAAAGTCCCAACCGTAGATGACAAAAATCAACCTATGTGAAAAAGACTGAATAAGTGAGGTAGGAAAATAAAATCCTGAAGTTGGTGTACGTCAAACAGTCTTGGAGATGAGGACGTAGGCCGAGGGAGTTGCCACCAACAGCAGGACCCGTTGTTGGTGAGTTGCCAGTGGGGTCCACACCTATGTTTTAAGCAGAGAGGATCGAATTCAGCTCCTGAATGTAGACGTGTTTTAGGCATAGATGCAGAAAAGCAGGTCAATCTCGAATTTCTGCACCTTTTCACGAACACGTCGAGGCTCAGACTGCTACCTAGTGGCACCTCGCCCTAATAACCCCTCCGCCCCTAACGCCGCAGCAAATTGAATCCATTCATTCTGTGAAAAAATAAATAAATAATAAAATCCATTCATTCAATTCGAAGTCAAAAACCATCCAGTGAGAGGTTACGTGGGAGAACGAAGGGCAGCAGTGTGAGCGTGACACTGCCTGGGCCCTCTGTCCCCGTGTCCTACCTCTACGGCACTTGGGGCACACTCACACTAGCACTTCTTCCCTTATTTCTGGATAGAATTGCTGGCAGATGCATACAAGTCCTGCTGTAAATGCGGTCAGGTGCATTTGGGATTAGTGGTAGTGCGAGTACGCCCCTGGAGTGGAGAATTTTTTTTTTTCCCCCCCCCCCCCCAATGGTCTGTACAACAATTAACGAGACGAAGGGCCTCGCTGCACTTCTCTCGACATGCACAAAAGACAAAAATCATGGCGGTGTATCTTTCCATATTCTAGCGGCAGATTCACTCTCGTTTTGCACATTTCGAGAGTAGTGCTGCGATGCGCGAAATCGAGCTGAGAACCGAGGAACGAACCACAGTTGCAACCCAACCAGCCAGCCAACCAACCATTGCACCTACGTAGCCTCGTGTTCTATTCCTTTCCGTCGGTGATCCTAGACGTGTTCGTGAACAGGTGCAGAAATTCGAGAATGAACTGCTTTTCTGCATCTACGTCTAGACTCAGGGAGGGAGGGAGGTAAGTAGCATCATCGTGTTCAATGGCGTTTTTCCACTTTGCTGATCAGGGAACTGAGGGAGGAAGAGAGACGGAGGGGGCAGGCAGGAGAAGTCCATCGGCCGGATATTCCTCCGTGCTTCATTGATTAATTGATTAATTGATTCATTGATTAGTTCGTTGAGTCGTTTCTTCATCTATTCACAGACTAATGAATGCACGTCTTCATCTATTCACAGACAGTATTTGGCATGGTCTTCGGCGTTCGACAGACAGCGTCAGGAGAGACTGAGCGCACAAACATTTGTCTGCCTGCTGTCGATGGTCTATCTATAGTATGTCCCCTCTTCGCCGTTCGATCTGGATGTAAGAGGAGGAGAAGAGGAGGAAGAGGAGGAGGAGGAGGAGGAGGATCGCCTATGTCCGGGCCGACCGTACCGTACGGATGTAGGATCCGAGGGAGGGAGGGAGGGAGGAGTAGGGAGGAAGGTGGAGGTAGGAGTCTTGGGAGATGGCTTTTTCTTTTTACGTCTCCCTTTGTGATGGTGTATAACTAGGTTCATGACTCGTTGGTACAAGTAGCTGGCTATTGCTCGCGCGGCGAGCTGGCGGAAGTGGTCGCCTTTTTTTTCTCCGAGTTTTTCTCCCTTTCCCGTTCTGTCCTACTGAAAAAAAGAGCAAACATCACTTTTGCTTTTTCTGAGATCCATACCGAGTAAGGTTGGGATCTGCCGCGACGCAGAGTCTCTCCCTCTTTGTCTTTGTCTCTCTCTCTCTCTCTCTCTCTCTCATTTTTTTTTTCTTCCCTGTTTGTTCATCCTGTAGACCAGTCGCCCGAGGGCGACCATAACGGCTTCAGCCTGATTGCCACGTGTTTGTCTCTCTGTCTCTCTCTCTCTCTCTCTCTCATTTTCTTCCCTTTCCTGTTTCTTCATCCTGTAGACCAGTCACTCAACGGCGACCGCAGCGTCTTCAGCTTGATTGCCACGTGTCTGTCTGTCCATCTGTCTGTCAGGCGACATAGGAAAAGGCCATATATCGTTGCCAGCTGCACTCTCGTGTGTGCACGTCAGGTCACATCTGATTCAGCCTACCATCTCCAATGTTGGGCGGGATTGATGCCTGCGCACCAGATCCACCTGAACTTCTCAGAAGACACGTGGCTAATCCCTTGTTCTGCCTCGACGACACGTGGAGTCTGTCTTTGTCTCCGTGGATGACAGGTGGCATACTCGATCACCGTCTCCCCTGCTTCTCGTGTTCTTGTACTCCCTCCTCCATCTCTTGTTCATGCCCTTGTTGTGCCCTCTGTTGTGATCGTAATTCCCCGCGCGCGCAAGTGTTCCTTGTCGTCGATATCTTTGCGCTTCAGCTGGCAGTGGCGTGGAATTGCACACGTGTAACAGAGGACGGAATGCTGCCACGTGGCACACGGGGGTACTTGGTCGGAGTGGTGCCAGATCGACCTACTCAGCGTTGTCGGAGGGCGGCCTCGCCTAGATAAACAGCTCTGGAGGCCTTCCGGCTTTGTTCGTTACAGCCCCTCTTCTTCTGGGTGACACGTGTCACACGGTGAAGACTGGAGATTCATTGATTGATTGACTCGGTGGCAACGAGCATCAGCAGGTGACGCGTGTCTCGAGCTCTCCTCCCCTGGCTCGTATCCAGCGCCGCATCCTCAGCGTCTCCTAGTCATCGACCATTGATTGCTTGCCCCCCCCCCCCCCCCCTTCCTCCTCCTCCGCTTCATAATGCTATTTTTATCCTATTGAACCAACCTATCGAGAAGTCCACCACAGGCAGGATCTCCTGCATCAGCTGCCTGCTGCTGCCGCCGAGGTGGAGGAGAAGGAAGGAAGTAAGGGAGGGAGGGGGGCAGGAAGGGTGGGAGGGAGGGAGGGAGGGAGGGAGGGAGGGAGGAAAGGAGGGCGAAGCTGACGTGTCGGATCGAGAGATCGGTGACGGCTTGTTGCAGACGTCATCGTCAGATTCGTTGTTCGCGGTAAGGCCACGTGTGCTGCCTCCTGCGCTCCCATCATCCCCGCTCTTCAAAGAAGACGACAAGCAGAATTTGTCTCGCCGTCCTTGCACACTGTGAGCGCGGAACGAAAGAGGGGTCCTCTTAACCCTCCGAGGGCGAGGGGGGGGGGTGTGATTGCCTGGTTGGTTGATTGATTGGTTGTGGGGCTGTCTCTTATACACATCTAGATGTGTATAAGAGACAGCTCTTAACCCTCCGAGGGCGAGGGGGGGGGGTGTGATTGCCTGGTTGGTTGATTGATTGGTTGTGGGGGGGGGGCGGGGGGATGACACGAATGCGGAAACAGGAGGGCGACGAGTAGTCTAACTGAATCTCAACATCACGCGGATTCTGTTGTCTGTGGAGAGAGAACGGACCGAACGAAAGCAAAGCTGGACCCTCAACCCCAACTACCCCCGGCCCTAACAGAAAAATTCCAAAGAAGGAGCGTGGAGTGGGAGGAGTGTGTAAGCGGCACTTGCACATGTAATCCCGCTCACCGGAATGGATATCGTCCGCAGGCGGGTGCCACGACAGCAGCGCGGGCGGGAAAGAGCCAGAGGAGGGAGCGAGAGCGAGGGAGGTAGGTAGGGACGAGGACGATAATATAGGTAGGTAGGTAGGTAGGTAGGTAGGTGGGTGTACAGGGGTGTGCAGCCAGTGACAACCGAGTGTTTCTTCTTAGTTTTGGGGAAAGGCGGCGCGGGGCGGGGGGCGGGGAGAGGAGGGTAAGGTGGGGGAGGAGGGGGGGAGGGGCGCGGGAAGAAGAACCGAACCGGTCGAGATGGCAGAAGTCCGAGCAGGGGGGGAAACCGTTGCCGCTCAAACTGTTGGGACTGCTGGGACAGGCCCAGCGGATGCGAATGGAGAGAACGGAGTCCTTCTGGCAGCAGCAGGAGTAGGAGTAGGAGGTGGAGGAGGATTAGGAGGAATAGGAGGAATAGGAGGAGGAGGAGGAGGGAGTGTGTTGGGAAAGGTCAAGGCCAATGGCGGGTTAGCAATCAACAACTGTTATTTGGACGACGAACCCTCGCGCAAACGACGAAAATGGGTGGGGGTTTCAAAACCCCTGACGAAATGGGGTAATTGCTCTCTAGGGGAGGGGGACCCAGAAATCTTTGATTTGATCGAGAAAGAGAAGAACAGGCAGTGGAAAGGCGTAGAGCTGATTGCGTCGGAGAATTTCGTCTCCCAAGCCGTGATTGAGGCGTTGGGCAGTCCGCTGACGAACAAGTATTCGGAGGGGATGCCCGGGGCGAGGTATTATGGCGGGAACGAGTTCATTGATCAGATCGAGATGATGTGTCAGGAGAGAGCGCTGACGGTATTCCGGTTAGATGCAGAGCACTGGGGGGTGAACGTTCAGCCGTATTCCTGCAGTTCGGCGAACTTTGCGGTGTATACGGCGCTGCTGCAGCCGCACGATCGGTTGATGGGACTCGATCTGCCCTCCGGAGGGCATTTGACGCATGGGTACTACACGTCCAGTGGGAGGAAAGTGTCCGCGTCGTCCATCTTCTTTGAATCGCTGCCCTACAAAGTAGACCCCGACACGGGCTACATAGACTACGACAAGCTGGAGGCCAAAGCCATGGATTTTCGACCGAAAATTATCATTTGTGGAGGGAGCGCCTACCCCAGAGAATGGGATTACGCGCGGTTTCGAAGCGTGGCAGACAAGTGTGGGGCGCTTCTCATGTGTGACATGGCTCATGTCAGCGGCCTTATCGCAGCGCAGGTTAGTAGTAGTAGAAAGGC